GGGCAAGGATATACCACGAAGAAAGTGATCAAACGATATATTTTTCCAGCTTAATTTAATATACATTGTATGAGTAGGGGGGAATTAACTTTATTCAACACTCAATGAACAATATAAATAATACTGATAACACAAACGAAATAGTTCATAATAATAACATGGAAGGAGAGTTTCCGATTCGAAACAATCTAACAGAAGCGTGTTTGAAATTTAAGAACAAACATCAGATTCAAAAAAATGACACTGCTGCGAAGTTTGATGATCACTCAAAGTTACTTTCTTATGTTATTAGCATAAAATAATCACTATTTCATGTGACTAATATATTTTACTAGTGAGTTTTTTCCAATAAAATAGTACTGATAAGATATCTCATGAGTTTCAGTAGCTGAATAAAATCTGCAATATTTAGGCAGTAAACACTGATCATGTGTTATTGATTGATAGATAGTCTAACAATTGTAATTCATTTGCGCAGAAAATTTAATTGCAAAAAATATGTTAGAATGCATATAATATATGTTTTTTGCATACCACAAAAGTAAGAGTGCTGCTAGCTAATTCTACTGATTATATCTAATTTCATAATTGAATAATTTCATGGAAATAATGACTTATTATTTTTGTTAAATTTGCTATGAGAAAGAAACACTAGTTCCATGAATGCATGAATTCGAAATTAATGACACTAATCAGTATAAATTGAGATTTATTTGAGTAGTTTGGAATACAACAAGTGAAATTTAATCATATGTCATTCTTGTTCTTAAAGCTGGAAAAGTATCGATTATTTAAAGCAAATTACAAGTTATTTGATACATTTTATTTCAAGCTTGGATTGGATGGAACAATTGAAACAAACATTTATTCGAAATTTTACTGTCTATAATATGAACACGTAAACTAGACATAAAATATTATTAAACACTCATTATACGACAGTGTATTAGAGGTTTTACCGAAAAAATAAATGTTTTTGTCAAAAACAGTCATCAAAGTTTTAAAAACATCGAAAGTCATAAATATAAGAACGTAGAAGAAATCGTTTAAAATAGGTAGGTAATTTTGTGTTAGTTCATACGTCAAGCTTGCATCAACTGGAAATTCATCGAAAACCAAGAACCGTTAGGTGATCATTTTATCCAAGTGTATAGCTTTATCTTACAGTGTATGTACCCAAAATTGATTACTTAATTACTTTGGCCTGTTACCCCCAATGGAGCATAAGCCGCCCACCAGTTTTCCTCAAAACCAACTCTGTCCTGGGCTTCCCTCTCCAGTTCTGTCCAATGTTTGTTCGTTCTTCTCACATCTTTCTCTATTTCTCGGAGTGATGTGTTCCTTGGCCTTCCTCTTTTCGCTTTTCTTGTGACGCAGTTACCCAAAATTGATAGGGTTGATTTAATTGAGAATTTTCAGAAACACTGGATCTAAGAATAATGATTTATATTGTTTGTTCGTTCGAAACTACAGCATTTTGAGTTAGTTCTCATTGAGATTGTGAGTAAACTATTGGAGATGATCCTCAAAACTAATCAAAGACAACTATTCACTTCTTGTTACCAGCTCAGCATTTTGCGACTGGTCAGTGATAAAATCTAATTTATAAGAAACAAATACTTTAAACCATATTATCCTAATTTATATTCCCTCCCTACTTCAAGAGGTATGTGTTATTTATTTTTATATTAGGGTAGAATCTGAATTACTGGCATAATAACTGTCTAATTCATTTGTCGTTTTTAATTGCAGTGCTTATTATCCAGTGATTATTGGCTGGTGTTTATATTACTCATATATGGCTTGTTTTATTGGTTTAACAATTTTGCCAGGGTGATCATTCAAAACTTTTTTTTTAAACAGTATTAAGTGTAATTATGAAGTTTTTGCTCATTTTCATTTAGATTACCTCTAAAGTGTTAGTTTTATCAAAATTCCATATAGGTTGGATTATTCTGGTTATCAACTTTAAGTATTAAAACATTTTAATAGGAAAAAATTAATTGTCTATTAGAATAACAGAGGGTTTTACAAATTGTTTTATGTTGGTTAATGAACTATCGTACGTAGATCTGTAAGTTTTATCTAAACAACTAAATAATTATCTGTTATTTGAACAATAAGTACTGGTGAATGAAGTAAGTAACTTTATCGCTACTCGTTCTATCTGAAAGAATGGCGCCTAAAATTATTACAATTGATGACGTTAACGATTACAGTCAGACTGCACACATTCTGCATAAACTCTGTGTTTCAAGGGACTGGCCACAAAATTTTATTAATTTGGTTTCATTTAGTTGTATCAGTCATTTCATTCTCAAAATGGAAGTCATTTTAAAACACGTATGATGGAGTATCATATTATTCTGCCAGTTAATTTTTACAAAACTTTGAGGACCATAACCGTTTGACAAACTAAACATTATGCAAACATCTGCTAGATCTATCCTAATTATAGTATGATAACAATCGGATTTTGTAATGGATGTCAACATGACATCCAGAATAATACGACGAAAGCAGCATGACATTGAATAAACGTAAAAAAACTCCTAAACTGTTTCTTTTTCAAAATTTGAATAAGTCTCCATAAATAAACAGAAATATACTTACAATGTTGTGGATGACATTTCCAAAAAATAAATCATTTCACTGAAATCATGAATTGATCAATGTTTAGACCACCAATAACAAATTTGGAAGCATGGGACTCGCCATCAGTAAGCAATCCACGAAACCCGCACACGGGTATGAACCAAGGAACTTCGGTCTCGCGCACGAATACTTAACAACGCTACCATATAACTTGATAAAATTTCCAATTTATCTATCCATTCCAGCTAAATTCGTTCACAAGAGATATAGTCAATAAAGATACATGTAATGTTTGACTTTCATTTACAGATAACTAACATTTTTAAGGAAACAAATTCTAAAGCCACTATAGCGAATCATAGAATGAATAAATGATTAATGGCTAGTGAGTGAAAAAGTCAATAAATTAAAAAAAATATCACTTTTTCCACTCTGTTAGCTTAAACGTTACATCCACTGAAAATTAATCATTACTAATATGCATATTTTTTTTAGCGAAAATATCTTATCATAAAATAATTCTTATACACATTCTTTGTAGTTAGATTATTCATTATTAATGTTATTTATTAAGGTAACTAAATGAGTAAATGAGAAATTCGATTTCCAGATTAGTTAAACTAACTTTAAAAGTTCATAATACGTGTTATCATTAATACGTACTGAAATATGAGAATGTATCAAATTTATTAAGTGTATAACATTGCATCGTTTGGTTTCGTTGACGTATAAAATAATCTTCATGTTTACGACTAGCTTAAACTCACTGAGTTGAGAAACAATTGTTTTGACAGTAAACATGTTTATAATTCCAGAGTATCTTCTAAATTACTCTGGAATTATAAACATGTTTACTGTCAAAACAATTGTTTCTCAACTCAGTGAGTTTAAGCTAGTCGTAAACATGAAGATTATTTTATACGTCAACGAAACCAAACGATGCAATGTTATACACTTAATAAATTTGATACATTCTCATATTTCAGTACGTATTAATGATAACACGTATTATGAACTTTTAAAGTTAGTTTAACTAATCTGGAAATCGAATTTCTCATTTACTCATTTAGTTACCTTAATAAATAACATTAATAATGAATAATCTAACTACAAAGAATGTGTATAAGAATTATTTTATGATAAGATATTTTCGCTAAAAAAAAATATGCATATTAGTAATGATTAATTTTCAGTGGATGTAACGTTTAAGCTAACAGAGTGGAAAAAGTGATATTTTTTTTAATTTATTGACTTTTTCACTCACTAGCCATTAATCATTTATTCATTCTATGATTCGCTATAGTGGCTTTAGAATTTGTTTCCTTAAAAATGTTAGTTATCTGTAAATGAAAGTCAAACATTTACATGTATCTTTATTGACTATATCTCTTGTGAACGAATTTAGCTGGATGGATAGATAAATTGGAAATTTTATCAAGTTATATGGTAGCGTTGTTAAGTATTCGTGCGCGAGACCGAAGTTCCTTGGTTCATACCCGTGTGCGGGTTTCGTGGATGCTTACTGATGGCGAGTCCCATGCTTCCAAATTTGTTATTGGTGGTCTAACATTGATCAATTCATGATTTCAGTGGAAATGATTTATTTTTTGGAAATGTCATCCACAACATTGTAAGTATATTTCTGTTTATTTATGGAGACTTATTCAAATTTTGAAAAAGAAAACAGTTTAGGAGTTTTTTTACGTTATTCAATGTCATGCTGCTTTCGTCGTATTATTCTGGATGTCATGTTGACATCCATTACAAAATCCGATTGTTATCATACTATAATTAGGATAGATCTAGCAGATGTTTGCATAATGTTTATTTGTCAAACGGTTATGGTCCTCAAAGTTTTGTAAAAATTAACTGGCAGAATAATATGATACTCATCATACGTGTTTAAATGACTTCCATTTTGAGAATGAAATGACTGATACAACTAAATGAAACCAAATTAATAAAATTTTGTGGCCAGTCCCTTGAAACACAGAGTTTAGGCAGAATGTGTGCAGTCTGACTGTAATCGTTAACGTCATCAATTGTAATAATTTTAGGCGCCATTCTTTCAGATAGAACGAGTAGCATAAAGTTACTTACTTCATTCACCAGTACTTATTGTTCAAATAACAGATAATTATTTTAGTTGTTTAGATAAAACTTACAGATCTACGTACGATAGTTCATTAACCAACATAAAACAATTTGTAAAACCCTCTGTTATTCTAATAGACAATTAATTTTTTCCTATTAAAATGTTTTAATACTTAAAGTTGATAACCAGAATAATCCAACCTATATGGAATTTTGATAAAACTAACACTTTAGAGGTAATCTAAATGAAAATGAGCAAAACTTCATAATTACACTTAATACTGTTTAAAAAAAAAGTTTTGAATGATCACCCTGGCAAAATTGTTAAACCTTTCTTTGCTTTCCATTTCACTTTTGGGTAAACCAATAAAACAAGCCATATATGAGTAATATAAACACCAGCCAATAATCACTGGATAATAAGCACTGCAATTAAAAACGACAAATGAATTAGACAGTTATTATGCCAGTAATTCAGATTCTACCCTATATAAAAATAAATAACACATACCTCTTGAAGTAGGGAGGGAATATAAATTAGGATAATATGTTTAAAGTATTTGTTTCTTATAAATGTAGATTTTATCACTGACCAGTCGCAAAATGCTGAGCTGGTAACAAGAAGTGAATAGTTGTCTTTGATTAGTTTGAGGATCATCTCCAATAGTTACTCACAATCTCAATGAAGAACTAACTCAAAATGCTGTAGTTTCGAAACGAACAAACAATATAAATCATTATTCTTAGATCCAGTGTTCTGAAATCTCAATTAAATCAACCCTATCAATTTTGGGTAACTGCGTCACAAGGAAAAGGAAAAGAGGAAGGCCAAGGAACACATCACTCCGAGAAATAGAGAAAGATGTGAGAAGAACGAACAAACATTGGACAGAACTGGAGAGGGAAGCCCAGGACAGAGTTGGTTTTGAGAAAACTGGTGGGCGGCTTATGCTCCATTGGGGGTAACAGGCCAAAGTAATTAAGTAATCAATTTTGGGTACATACACTGTAGATAAGCTATACACTTGGATAAAATGATCACCTAACGGTTCTTGGTTTTCGATGAATTTCCAGTTGATGCAAGCTTGACGTATGAACTAACACAAAATTACCTACCTATTTTAAAACGATTTCTTCTACGTTCTTATATTTATGACTTTCGATGTTTTTAAAACTTTGATGACTGTTTTTGACAAAAACATTTATTTTTTCGGTAAAACCTCTAATACACTGTCGTATAATGAGTGTTTAATAATATTTTATGTCTAGTTTACGTGTTCATATTATAGACAGTAAAATTTCGAATAAATGTTTGTTTCAATTGTTCCATCCAATCCAAGCTTGAAATAAAATGTATCAAATAACTTGTAATTTGCTTTAAATAATCGATACTTTTCCAGCTTTAAGAACAAGAATGACATATGATTAAATTTCACTTGTTGTATTCCAAACTACTCAAATAAATCTCAATTTATACTGATTAGTGTCATTAATTTCGAATTCATGCATTCATGGAACTAGTGTTTCTTTCTCATAGCAAATTTAACAAAAATAATAAGTCATTATTTCCATGAAATTATTCAATTATGAAATTAGATATAATCAGTAGAATTAGCTAGCAGCACTCTTACTTTTGTGGTATGCAAAAAACATATATTATATGCATTCTAACATATTTTTTGCAATTAAATTTTCTGCGCAAATGAATTACAATTGTTAGACTATCTATCAATCAATAACACATGATCAGTGTTTACTGCCTAAATATTGCAGATTTTATTCAGCTACTGAAACTCATGAGATATCTTATCAGTACTATTTTATTGGAAAAAACTCACTAGTAAAATATATTAGTCACATGAAATAGTGATTATTTTATGCTAATAACATAAGAAAGTAACTTTGAGTGATCATCAAACTTCGCAGCAGTGTCATTTTTTTGAATCTGATGTTTGTTCTTAAATTTCAAACACGCTTCTGTTAGATTGTTTCGAATCGGAAACTCTCCTTCCATGTTATTATTATGAACTATTTCGTTTGTGTTATCAGTATTATTTATATTGTTCATTGAGTGTTGAATAAAGTTAATTCCCCCCTACTCATACAATGTATATTAAATTAAGCTGGAAAAATATATCGTTTGATCACTTTCTTCGTGGTATATCCTTGCCCGCTTCATCTCACTTCTGATACTTCATTTGATGTATTAGTTACTACATTTGTTAAGTTGTTTTTAGTTGAAACAATTCTAATTTTCAACAGATACAACTTCACAGACAGACTTAACTTTCGATACCAAACAATTTGGAGAATAGATTATGGACTATAGTTATGCAAAGTATCTTTAATTATTTCTTCATCAACAATACAAAGTTACTTTTGTTTTCTGTGTACTTATTGTATCTGTGAGTCCGAAGAAAACAGTAGTAAGTTTGTGTTTGTTTGTTATCGCAATTCGAGTAAATCAATTGTATAAATCAACCTAAGAAACCAATATTGTCGTGCTATAAATTTTGTCTCTCAAGGAACAAGAATAAGACAAGTATCTAACGTTTTCTGATTTCCAACAATGTTTAAAGCTTATGTTAACTTCTGAAAATACTTCTGAATAAATTTTTCCAAGCTCATATGAGCTATTTACATATCTACCAATGAAATAAAACTACATAACTTTTTCACTAACATATTGATTCACACTAGTGATGATTTTTACCAATCAATTAAAAAAGTCAAATCTATTTAACTAACCTCAGAAAAAATGTTACCAAAGTAACCCATCCACCAATCCATGCAAATTTATCACCAAAAAATTTATGAAATGAAGCTGCCACAGAATTTCGTGTAAAACGACCCAATGTATACTCAACAATCACAATTGGAACAGACCATAAATAAAGTACAAACACCCAAACCAGGTAAAATGTTAATGCACCTAAATTTTATTGTTTAACAAAAAAAAAGTGAAAAAAAGCAACAACTCATATTTTATAATGTTATGATAAATAATTATAAAAATAGTTTTTTGAAAAGGTCATCATAAAAAACTGATTTCATTTGGAAATGATTATTATTTCATACAAAATTAGTAATATTTCAAACAAACAAAAAAAAAACCAGATAGTAGTGCCAAGTGCAAATAAAATTAAATTAAAATCATCCAGGTTCAAATAACTTTTTATGCAACAGCCAGATTTACTTGTTTTACATGATGATTATGATTGAATAATGAGTAAATTTTATTGTACATGATATACTATGCCAAGATCTGCCATGGAAAGTTTTTTACATTATGACTAATTTGTAATGTTTGTTAAGAAAGACATTAATTAACCTTAGTGGTTGTTGTTGTTGATGGTTTTAACGGACCTCAGTTAAACAACAACTGAGGACTAAAGAGTTCAAGATCGGTTTTTGACTTAGTCATTTGGCTGTTATAGATTATTATCGAATAAAATAGCCTCTGCAAATATCTCAACGTCAGTTGAATATAACCGAAACACATAATAATATCATTCGAAGCGACTTACTTAATAATTCGAAGTTTTAATTTACATCATAAAAAAAAGGAATTTTTGTTTCGTACAAATGTACATGCGATAATATTTTTTCATAAATTATGACATAATAATTATATGTATGTTGCAATTTCATAGATTTTATTGTTTACTAAAGTACCAAAGTTCGCTTAAGTGTACAATTAATCTGTATCATTCAAAAAGGCATAAAATTAATTAGCATAAAATGATTGTTAACTTTTAGTGACTAAGTGAAATTTTTATTTCAATGTGAAATAAAAGGTTTTCAATAGCGAATCACAGGTGTTAACAAAAGATAACGAGAAAAAATAACTATTCATATTCTGACTAGCCAATATATTTGCTTTATATATACATTCATGTCTAAAATGTATCATTTGATTCTGTTCTAATCTTTGAAACATTTCACTTTGAAGTTTCATTACACATGTATATAACTTTGAGTATCACTGAAAAAAATATTACATCGAAAACTTATAACTAATTTGAAACATTCTTGTTACGAACTGATAAATTCAAAAAAAAAAAACAAATACTAACTTAACCAGAACTCTAAAATGTTGCGGATATACAAATGAGTCAATTTAAATAGTAATACAAATTTATATTACCTTTATCATAGCTATAAGTTGCTAAAATCCGTGGAAATCTCCAAATATTTCCAAATCCAACTACACATCCCAAACATGTGAGTACAATACCGAAACTTGAATTAAATGTGGATTCATCAACTACTACTACTTCTTCTTCTTCTTCTTTTAAAATCACAGCTGGTTGATTCAAACTTGCATTGGAAAACCCCTAGATCAATGAACAAATAGTAATTCCTTAAAATCAATTTAAAACAGATCAATGCAACACGTTACGAATATGAGTTTTTTAAGTAGAGTCAACATTACCTTTCTACTGATTTCTAAATCTCCATTAGAAAGTGAACGTTTTGTCTTTTCTGATAATAACATTGGAATTATAGATTGCACAAGACTAAACGAATATATATATATATATATATATATATATATTCTGTTGATACAGATTGTTTGAGAAAATTAATTTCATGATTTAAAACACCATTTATGTCCATCGAACAGAAAACAATGGACAGCTGATATAAAGTAAATTAGCATATTGTATATTTTCCAATAGTAAATAACATGAAGGTGTAAAAAATGAATTTAATTATTCTTTTTTTGAACAGTCATATAGTTGTGCTATTTGAATTAGTTGACAAAACAATTGACCGAATGAATTCAAAATAAATTTTAGTGCATGAAACGATTTTAAACTACAAAATTATCATCAATCATGTTTCAAATGATATTCAAACTTCCATATTGTAAAAAACATTGTTTCAAATTCTGAAGACATGGATTGACTTTTTCTTGATAACTTAGTTGAACATGAAGGTGTCATTTTAAACGTATTCTTAGTGATGCGTAAGCTTGTACTGCTTCAGTTATCATAAAAATATCGAAATTCAGTTTGCATGTGCAAAAAATATCGCCTAAGATTTTGAATGGTTTTGGAGGTACTTCCAAAATTTTAATGCCTAAAATTTTGTTTTCTGGTGTATATTTTTAGACGTGTTTGGATTTCGTTTATTTTTAATATCAGTTGTCTGAGCTACTCCATCAACCCACTACTTTGTAGGCAGAATAACCGAGTCTGAGCGACTAGTTATCTAGTAAGCTTTAATCATTAAATCGCCTTTTGTTATTTACTAAAATATCTGTATACCTGTTAGTAGGAGTAATCAACCTAACTTATGATCCTTAATAATTCTATCACGTTAGTCACCCTCAAAACATCAACGTCAGTCATTTAAAAAAGGGAATAAATCTAGTTCTATCATGTTTATATTAATTTATAGATTGAAAAAGGCAGATTTCAGATTATTTAAATAAAATATATGGAAAGAAACTTATAAAAATGGTTTGTAAACTGTAGCTGGTTCAGGTGGATACTCAAGGAAAAAGAAAACATATTAATAGAGATGTAGACAAGTGTATTATAAAAATGAGTGAATATAAATCAAGCACTAACTAATCTATTGCTTAATAAAACCATATAGGGACTGAATATTTCTCACAAAGATGTTAATAATATAAAGCATATAAAGTGCACATAATAGTTGACATAATTTCAGATTACAGGATTATTCTTGCGATACACACCTTAGTACTCATCACGTTTGTAAGTATATGGATAGCTTTAGTCATAAGAAAAACTTAAATATGCTGATTAAACGAAGTCGCGAAAATCAATAACCTTTTGTAATGACAGATAATGCAATAATACCAAACAATTTACACCAAATAATTTATTTGCTAGTGGTACAGTTTAGTGTCATATAACATTACTGTATACAGCATCGACTTAGAAGCATTATTACCATTTAAGCCTGTACTATTTTGACAATAAATCTTATTAATTTGTATAAGAGAAAGGAGCTTAAAGAGTTAGCTTTATTTATAGGTTTTCTCATCATATTAGGATACGTAATCCAGTATTAAAATTCTTACAAACTACGAGATAAATATTTAGAAATCAATACTCTCTTAGTAGAAGAGCTATGATGTGGTCTTTTAGAACAAAATGTATGATTATTATACTGTACTGTCAGGATAAATAAAATCATCTACAATTGGGAAGAAGAAAACGAAGGTAGAGGTTAAAGAATAATAATCATACGAATTTATTGTTATTATATCTTCAGTCAAATACTCGCTTGATTTGCTTTTCAGGTATGAATTTAAATAACTGATATACGTAGCCTTTCCTACTGTAAACATCCTTAGAATAATGAAATGTATGATAAAGTTAGAGTAAGGTTTGTTATTACCTGGACTAGCATAAAGAATTCATGATATATGAGAATGTAATGGGACGAAAGCATAAAATTTCAATATGAAAGGATTATGAATATGCTTAATAGCATTGTTCATAAGTTTAAAGTGTCGGCAATTTTCCTTGTAAACTAAGGTACAACAATTATTGTAGACATTCAAAGAAAAAATTTATCGGTTTGTCGTACGCAAGATATTAGTTAATTTATACAATCGATAGATTGTTACAAGTTGTTACATATTTTATGAAAATTACTTGCACGACAGTTCATACAGAAAGTGGATTTAGAATGAACATGCTTCACCTTTGATATT